TCCATATCCTGTAGGGGATACTTTGGGAACATGGAGTCTCAGGTCCACTACTTAGAACTATTCAACCCAAATACAACTGGTGTAAAAGAACGTGTTTACTGAAACTAAAGTTTTTCCATTAGGAGATGGATTTTTACCAGGGCTGAACTCCAAACTGGAAACCTTCTTGTTTGTATTTCACTGCTGCTTTTTGCAGTTGATGTGATCCTTGTTGGTCCAATGAGCAGGGACCTCCACCACTGAGGGGTGGGGGTGGGAGGGAGAGGATGAAAGTCATTCACAGGTTCTTTCAGTTGAAACACATTCATCTGAGTCAAAGACATTTTTATTATAACTTTTTATCATAACCTGTTGGGATTAAAGCAAGCATGACTATTAATCATTTTCTCCTGAATTACTGTTCACATCCACATAATGTAACAGTTGATTCTTCATGATTCCTCCACAGARATGAGCCCCAAAGATCAGAACATCCCAGTTGTCAGTCTGCCCAGAAGCATCAAAGTGAACAGGACTCAGTATTTACGGTCTGTAATTGTTTTTCACCAATATCTCCATGCTATACTTTGTCAGTCTTGTTAACATGGATCTCATGTGTCATCCTTTACAACGTTCTGTTTCAGGAGCTAAAGAACAACATAGATGCTTTCGTGAAGAATGAGCTGAACAAAATGCAGAGAGCTCTGAGTTCAGATGGTCCAGAATGCTCACAGGGTCACTGGGAGGAGGAGGAGTTGACGTGTGAAGACAAAGAGCAGCAGAGACGTGATCAAGAGGCATTTCTGAATATCACCGTGAACTTCTTGAGAAGAATGAAGCAGGGGAAGCTGGCTGACCTTCTGATGAGCAGTAAGAGGATTTCTTTTGAGAGTTACTATGTCAGCTTGCAGATGATGTGTGATCTGTAGTGAGAACAGGTGGAAGAGAGTTTGGAGAGGCGTAGAAGTGAACTTGAAAGAAGAGGCATTAAAGTCAGCATTAGAAAGATAGAACAGGTGTGTGAACTACAGGGAGCAGAGTAGGACTGGGCGATATGGCCTAAAATCAATATCACGATACAGCGGGTAAAATAAGTATTGAACACGTCAACATTTTTCTCAGTAAATATATTACTAGAGGTGCTAATGACATGAAATTTTCACCAGATGT